GTCACATTTAGCTAAAAGTGAGTCATTCTTAAGTTCTAGCTTTTCATTTTTAGCTCTTGTCTTTCTAATGATTTTAGTATATTGGTTTGCCAACTTGACAAGATCATCATAAGAAGGTGATTCAAATTCATCATCACTATCACTATCATCATTGCTAGCATGATCATCACCACTACTTTCATCATCACCTTGTACCTTTCGTTCACCCTTGACCATAAGGCATAGGTGTGTAGAGGATGATGGCGGTGGTGTCGGTGAAGATAGTGAAGAGTCAATTACAATAGCGGCCACCTTCTCGTTCTCACTATCATCATCGGATGAGCAACTTGATGAATCAATATCCGTGAGCCAATCACCGACGATGTATGCCTTGCCATTCTTCTTCTTCTTGTGGAAATCTTTCTTTTTGCCATCATTTTTCTTGTATGGCTTGATTTTTTTCTTCTCATCATTATCTTCAGCACTTGAGTCATCTTTCTTGCCATGTACTTCTTCTTGTACTTGTCTTTCTTAGGCTTGGGGCATTGATGAGCTAGATGACCAAGTTCTCCATAATTATAGCAATCCATCTCGAAGATAGCCTTCTATTGCTGTAAAGAACTTTATCTTTTTGCCGTCAAACTTGACACCGTGAAGACTTGCATCATCAATTTTCATCATCACTTGAGCTCTCATATTCAACTCTTGCTTTGCCCTTGTTCTCTTGGCTAGCCTTCAATGCTAAGTCTTTCTTCTTGTGGAAGAAGAGCCATCTTATGGTGTGATGTGCATATATATCTCATGTGCATTGATCTTTCCCAATATTTAAGTTGGTGTAGCGGTGGAAAGATAACCTTGATGAAGCACGGTCACAATATGCCCATATTTGTCAATGGGGAGGACACTCAAGATTCAAGATTTTTCTTACAACATCGGAGGGTTGTATTTGTGTAAGTCCTAGCCCATTGACTTCCTCTACAAGAACATTTAAGCGTGAGTACATCTCATTAGCACTTTCCTTAGGAAGCATCTCAAATGAATTAAGCTTTTTCATAACTAGATGATATCATTCCTCACGCTTACACTTTGTTCCCTCATGGAGCGCATAAATGTCCGACCATAGTGCATGAGCGTCCTTATGGTTCGACACATGGTTAAACACATCTTTGCAAAGGCCTCTAAAGATGGTGTTTCTAGCCTTTATATTTCATTTCTCATAATTGACTTCATCGCCTTGAAGGTGTGTGGGATCCTTAGGTTTTGGGAAACCTTGAGAGGCGGCTCTAAGAATTCCAACATCTAGAGCTTCTAAATAAGCCTCCATGCAGATTTTCTAATAAGGATAATCATCTCCCTCAAAGATAGGAGGAGGTCCATCCTCGTGGGACATCTTTCTCTAGGCGGTTAAGCCTACTTTAGTGAGCACGATGCTCTGATACCAATTGAAAGGATCAAGATGCCCAAGAGGGGGGGGGTGAAATGGGCTAATTCTAAAATTCTTTGCAATAATTAAACTCTACACTTAGCCCACTTCACCCCTTGTGCCTAAAATGTGTTCCTATTGTTCTACCGCATAAAAGTTTTGCACCCTAGGTTCTAATCCTACTCTAGCATGATAATTCTAAGAATGTAAAGATAAGAAATGAATTGCTCAAATGTAAATGCTTAAAGTAAAGAGAGGAGAAGGAACGCAGCGATGTTTTGCTGAGGTATCGGAGAGTCGCCACTCCCCACTAGTCCTCGTTGGAGCACCCACGCAAGGGTGTAGCTCCCTCTTGATCCGCACAAGGATCAAGTGCTCTCTACGGCTGATTTTTCGACACTCCGTCGCGGTGAATCGCCCACAACCGCTCATAACTTGAGTTGGGTCATCCACAAGCTCCGCTGGATGATCACCAAACTTCCGATCACCACTGAGCCGTCTAGGTGATGGCGATCACCAAGAGTAACAAGCACAAACTCTCACTTGACCACAACAAGCCTAATGAGAAGGGTGGATGCACACTTGCTACTCTCCTTGCACTAATGAGGCCTTAATCTTGGATTCTCAAATCTCAATCACCTCACTAGGCTCTTGCTCTTCTTTGCACTCTCAAGGGTGTTTCTCAGCTGAACAAATGAGTAAGAGGCCTCTCTTGAACGAGTGGAGTAAGTATTTATACCCCCTTATTTAAAACATAACGTTTGGAGGCTGAGTCATCACTCTGCGAGGTGACCGGACGCTCCAGTCAGGATGACCGGACCTTTCGGTCAGTTATCCCCGCCACTATGTCAGAAAAGAGCCATTAAGTTCGGACCGGACTCTGACCTGCGTCCGGTCAGCACTGACCGAACGCGTCCAGTCACAAAAACTGCTCTTTGGAACCTTACTGATGTTGACCGGACGCTGGCACCCAGAGTCCGGTCACTTCGCAGTTCAGCGTCCGGTCAGTTACTGAATCCTGACCAGCGTTCGGTCAGCACTGACTGGATGCGTCCGATCAGGAATCCCCCTCTCTGAAGTTGACCGGACGCAGGCACCCAGCGTCCGGTCACTTTTCACTCAGCGTCCGATCGCAACCAGACAGCTCTAGTTGATCAAATGAACTGACCGGACTCATCCTTCAGCGTCCGGTCACAACCAAGCCAGCGTCCGGTCAGTCATTTGACCCTCCATTCACTTTCAACTCGAAATCATACGTGAATGAAGTGTGCTTCAATTGATCTTAGGGCTACTCCGGAGCTACCTAATGCTAGATTTGACAAATGTGCACTACACCTAACCTATTAGACTCATCTAGGTCAAGCTACTAGTCCATACCCCCTTAATAGTACGGCCAAAGGAAAAACAAAGTTCTAAATATTCTAAGTGTCTCTTCAACACTAAACGACACTTAGAACTAGTCCATTCTTAACCTTGTCGTCCATCCTTTGAAAACCGAAACGATTTCGATCGTAGAGGCATGACAATCATGATTGCCTAATCAATTGTCGTTACCATGATCTAACTTAATTGCCTCTACAAAACACACACTAGTCATAGTAATCTTATATTGTCATTAATCACCGAAACCCAACGCCTAGATGTTTTTAATAAACCCCCTATACTTTAAACGTGCAATGAAAGGAATATATTTAATTGCAACAATGAGAAATTGGTGTCACAAAATGGACCCAATAAAAGTAAAATGAAATAAAAATGACCAATGCACTTTAGGGTGACCTCGTAATGCAAGTGCACAATTCTGAGTTGTCTACATAGCTCTGAACATTAACATTCGTCTCCAGGCAAGTACAGATCCATGGTTTTTAGTCACAGTGCGATGTCTCCGTACTGGTACAAAGTTTTTAGTCATTTCAGCTGTAGACAAGCAAGGGTTCCCTCTTCAGTCTTCCCTGTCTCCACCGCAAGGTGCATATAGATATACAATGTACATATGCTAAGAAGCCCTCCACTGCGAGGCATGGCGTGAAATGGAGAAGAATGGAAGAAGCGAAGCTTTGGAGGGAGGGACAGCTGGACAGCTGGACAGAGGGACACGTCCAAGCTGCACTCCCCGCCGGCTGCCACCGCAACTGCTCGTGTAGGGTTTCTCAAGTTTGGGGATGGCGGAATCGGGATTGGCATTTGGGTGGTGGCCCTGGTGGGGAAGGGGAAAAACTGAAAAAGTAGTGTTGCAGTCTGACGGGAAAGTAGGAGCAAAGCAAAGCTTGTGGGCTATCGGCCTGAATCGATTTAAATTTGGTCCATTTTCGTTTTTGCATTTATATACAAAGTATACGCTATACATACACAATTTTTTTCCAAAAATAATGGGATTTGCTAAATTTCAGGTGCCTGAATTTTAGTTTTCATTCATGCGACGATTATTGCATATATTTTGTACTAAACTTGTAGTTTTAGTTTGTTGCGACAATGTGCAAAAATTTGGTTTCGAGAATAAAAACTCATTAGACATAACTACAAACCTGACAAAAATCTGATATGTGTTTGCACAAAGACAATTTAACTTATTTCTATAGTCAGACAAAGACAAAAATTTGATATGTTATGACACGAAGACAAATAACAAATCATAAAAATAACAGTTTACTTATACTAATTGATAATACAAGAGCGTTGCCTGAAATCAAGTTCAGGCACCTAAAATATAAGAGAAGTGAGAAATAATATGTATTCAACTGAATACCCATGAATTGAGCTGGACCCACCCCAAGCTTACTGCCTTGTCATCTACTACAAACTAACACTGAGCCAAATATGAGCTAGTTTTTCATCGAGCTAAGAAGTTTTACTCATCCAAATACTGGAAAAGTCGTAATGGATCTCGCTGAAAATCTAATGGGTCGTCAGCGAGAATCAGAGATAGATTCTAACATCAGCTAGGCTAAACCATTGCAAACTCCAAGGCAGCAAGACTTGCCTGCCACTCTTGGTCGAACGATACAATTCTTCAGTGCATTTACACTGCTTTCCTTTCCAAAGTTGCACGAGGTCTTTTTACATCGACAACAGGTTTAACTACCTAATACAAAGTATACAACATATCCCTCGTACATGCAACTGACCACAACAGAGCATGACATCTACAGATTAATATGTGCCATGTCATCTCTCAGCTCAGTCAGACTATGCCATCAGTATATCTCGGTAGCAGAGGCAAAATGAAAACAGAATCAGCAAAATCCGAATCCAGGAACCAGGAACCAATAATGTCCATCAAGTTTCTGAATGGCAAAAGCTTCTCTTGATGCTCCCTGCTGATCATCAACATGAAGAATCATCTTCAATTCGTGGCACAGATCAGCTTCACCAGGCAGAGTAGGGCTACCAGTTTGTTCACCCAACTGCACTCCATAAGGGTGTGGCTCGGCAAAAATCATGAACAGAGATCAGTCAAATGAGGACGCTGAAGGTTGTTTCACCATTGGTGCAGCCAGCTAATCTGGTTATTTAAAATGGCATGTAAATGCTATCTCGTTACCAATTTCACTTTGGCCTTCTATCTGTAGTAGAGTACTAGGCATTAAGCACGTGGCTTTCAAATCTCCATATGTTTTAATCTATCCCTTCGCTTTTTTGCAGGCCCAAGGCATTCATGAGGATTAGCATAAAAGTAGTCCTCTTCCTTTGGTTGTCCGGGGATAATTCTCCTTCTGGTGGGCTGGCTCATTCGGCCCCCATGGAGCTCCTTGACAGCAACAGAGAATTCTTCCCAGGACAGCTCCTGATCTTCGAAAAGATCTATAAGCTCAACTAGCTTCTTCCTATCCAACTGTATGGTTCTGTGGAAGCCTGTAAACCTGCATTCCCAGCATAAGCACTTGTCAGCTAATCAAGTGGCATTTTCTTTTGCTGTTTTTATTGCATGATTCTTCAGTGCTTTCTTAAGGGGGGAAAGCACATATAACTACAACACTCCCGTGAGAACAAATAGTACACACGTGTCTTCACAAAAACTAAACATTACAACACTTCCGTGAGCACAAATAGATGTACTTGATGGAAGTCAAGGAGGAATAAATAGTTAAATGCTAGGGAAGTCAAACAAAGTATGCAGACCTGCGGTGTCCTTCTACAACTTTAGCCATGTTTCCATCATTACTGGGGATGAAAACATCACTTGCGACAGAAACACGATAGTCCAGTGCTGCCATTTGAGTTGAGTGCTTCTGAAAGGGTCGCAACTCATCATCAGATAAAAGCATCTCCTTCCGCACCTACATTTTACAATAGCAAATAAGCATACACTTCTAGCACTGCAAGCAAAAAATTATGGATGTGGAGTTAAGATGAACTTACAATGTTAGGAAATTCTGTCTTCAATACAGCTAATCTTTTTTCACCACCATATATTTCACCTGACGCAATATATATTCGAGTGTCTCTGGGGAAACCAAGAGCTTTGAGTACTAAAGTTGTTTCTCCAGGAGTCAGGGGGCACAATCCCTCAAGCCTTTTCTTCTCAGAGTCTATTTCCTTTTCTTTCCACCAGGGATATGCATATCTGAGGTCCCAAGAACAGACAACAATGAGTATTGGAAACAAAGGTTGGGAGGAGAAAATAAAGTTGATTATGAAGCAGTAATATCAAAAGAACCTCATTCTTGTCAACTCTTCTGTTTCTTCATCAGAACATCCATGTGTACAGCCAGAAAAAGCAAGCATATCCATCTCATATCTAAGATGAAGCACAATAAAAGATCCAGTTCTCCTGAGAGTTGAGATCATCTTGTTTCCTAGAGCCTCAATGGATGGTGTAAACCTCAATGCGTTGTAGTTAACATGGCAGCGAAGTTTTTGGAGCTTCAGAGGCAGGCCATTGTTTGCAAGGCGAGAATCTGTCTTGCTAAAACGTACAACCTTGTGTTTTCGTACTAGAGGCAAGATCTGAAAACAAGACCACTGATTGTGAGAACCAACAACTGACAGAAGAGAAAAAAAGTAGTTCTAATTGTAAGAGAAAAAATACTATCTAACCTGCCTCAAATAGTATTTGTCACTAGACCAGCTGATTGGTTGCATTGACAGAGGAACTTTTTCACTGAACTTCTGTGGGAGTTCTTTGACAATCTTCACTTCATTCCTCAATGAATCGATGAAATGATTTACATAAAAAATATCCCCAAAATCACTGAAAAGTATAACAAGTTTGCATCATTACTCTTGCCTAATTCTGTAATCGACCAAGAAAGCATAGGGCAAAATGCACACCTAGGATCAGCCCAGAAGGATTGCTTATCAAGTTCAGGTATCACCATGGTGAGATTCAAGTAGCGTGCTACAGTCACCATGTCGCATATCTGCACAAAACAATATTTCGCAAAGCATAAGAACAACATAGTTCGGGGCTTTTTGCTGTACTTGAAGCTGCCAATGTGTAAATAGAGGAAGTGTAAGATACACTAATAGAGCATATATAAGTACTAACCGCTGCTCGCATTTGGTTCAGACCACCATTGCATGAAACTAGAAGGTAGCCATTACTCTTGTAAAGCCCTACATGAAGAAATAAATGTTATATTTGGAGTGAACTATCATATTAATGTAATAAGATGATAGACTACTGTCAACAACATGGTATGCAGTATACTCTGATAAACATGAGCAGAAGCTTGATTAATTTCGCCACCTAGCACCTACATAATGATTAGCATCTTACTAAGTAGTCAGTCTTCATGTTAAAAAAACCTGAAAATTTTACTTGCAAAAGATCAAATCGTCTCTGGGCCTACTATTACTTACAGATCACGAGACTTGGCATTTCTCATTCTACTTACAAGTGGGAAGATTGTCCATTCCAACAAGCTCCCCCCACCCCCAAAAGAAAAGAAAAGAAAATCAAACGAAGAGATGGCACAATCATTCGCTTGATATGAACGCATTCAGACCCCAATTTACGATTTCATTGAAAATAGCAATCCAACCACACACACACATCACCACACCCCAGCGAAGTCTATTTTTCTGACAACCCCTCTTATGTCCACATCACAATCTACGAAACAAATAAGAATCCCAATGACCAAGAACAAAGAGGGAGCAATTGATCGTCAATTCAGAAATCTGGCAACTTCTGAATCGCCCAACATCCAAAATGTGGGCGATATTAGTCAAAATGAGTCAATTTAAGCGTTCCCTTTTTATTTACTCTGGAGAACAATTTGATCCAACGGACAAATGCTCTAGAACTACCACATTCTGATTCCCGCCATCGGGGCAGCACGAAGCGCCCCATCCCCCCAACCAAGAACAGAGCAGGAAGACGGCCCAGATTCCAAGAAAACCCAACCCCAAGACCCAAGAGTCCCCCGGTTGAAGAAGACGAGAGCCACTCACTTCTGTGAGGCAGAGCCGGGGGCGCCAGGTGCCTGGCCTCGCCGGCCGCAACCACGGAGTTGGCGGCGGTGGAGTTGCTGCGGCCGCCCAGGCAGGACGGCCGCGCGATGGGCAGCGGCGGGCGCGGGATGCCGAGGAAGGTGAAGAGGTGGAGGAGCAGCGTCCAGGCCACGATGCTAGTCGCGACGCGCAGCGCCCACCGGATGGCGGACGCCCCGGCGCCGCCGATGCGACGGCGGACCGCGGCCGGAGGCGAGGCCTTGTGCTTGACCATAGGGCCGGGCCGCGGGGCTGGGCTTGGCTGCCTGCTGGCACGACGCCTTCGTTTCTGCCGGGCTCGTCGCTAGAAGTAGTCGTAGAGGAGGTGGACGAGCGCTGAGCGCAGGAGGAGCGGTCGTTACCGTAAATACTCCTACCGTATGATGGCGTAATTAAGGGGGTTGGTTGGGATTCCGGTCGGTGTTAGGGTGCGTAACTGCAACGTTCGTGGCGTGGCGTGGCCGCATGGATCCTGTTCTGTAAAATCATTTTCACCGCCTACTTAAACCTGTCGTAAAAGGAGGATAGGATGAGGAGAAACCTGTCCGTAAAAGACTCTAAAAAGTAAAAACTAGGAGTAGGAGGAAAGGACGAGGAGAGGAAAATTTTTAATTGTATCATATTATTATCTGGACTATATATCACGTACTCCCGTCTCTAAATATTTATCGTTTTCGCTTACCAACAAACAACTTTGACTAAATATACAAAATATCAATATTTATGGTACATAATTAATATCATTAGATAGATATTTAAATCTAATTTTTTAATAAATTTATTTGGAGATACAAATGTTGTACATATTTTCTGTAAATTGAGTCCAATTTTAGGCACGAAAATCAACGACGACAATTACTTAGGAACATAGGGAGTATATGAGCATTATATTATATAATTATCAATATTTAGAGGATAAAAAAATATTTTCTTGGAAGTGTGCCACGTGCTCTACATCGACCTGCCTTTGAAGCCAGCATAATGCTCTAGTTAAGACGTACGGAACAGACGAACGCCTCACTCGCTCACTCCCGCATCTAGTTCCTCCCTTCCGCGCTCACGCCCTGTGCCTACCGTAGCTGCCTTCCTGGCCGGTGGCGACGCAATCCCTACTCCCAGCGTCCTTACCCATCGGGAGCGCCCAATGCCCGCGGATCTGGTGGTCCTCTCCCCACCCTAGCGAGATCCAAGCAAGCCGCTGACCCTCCCCTATCCCAGCCGGTGGCGCCCTTCCTAGATCCGGCAGCGTCTCCTCTCCCTCGGTTGACGACGGGCATGGCGGGCGTGCGGGCACGCACCATCCAGCGACCCTGTGCCACCGCAGTTTTCCACCAGGTAGGTCATGGCCGCGCGGCGATACTGTGTTTCAAGTGTTTCTAGATGCTTTTCAAATATGTTGCAAGCCCATGTTTCAAGTATTTCAGTTATTTTAGATATATGTTTCAGTTGTTTCATGCGGATGTTGTAAAAGTAGATCAGAATATTGCATATGTTGCAATGGTTGTACATGTATGTTGCAAGCATCTATCCCCAATGTTTCATATGTTTTTTGTACACTTATGTTACAAGTGTTGCATCTAAATGTTTCAAAAGTAGATCGGGATGTTGCACATATTGCAATGGTGTTTCAACTGTATGTTCCAAATGTTCCATTTGTTTTAGACGTATGTTGCAAAAGTTTCATCTAGATGTTGCAAAAGTAGATAGGGTGTTGCACGGCGCGCCTGGTGGCTGTCGCTGCTGCTGGGGCGCAGCCGTGGGTCAATCCGTCTACGCCTGAATCAATTTAAACCTCCAAGTTGTGAATCGATTTACACTATAAACTTATAGATCTGAAAAGTGGCGTGACAGCGTTTTTTTCATACCGGAAACGCCGTCTAACGTGGTGGATGTTGCCGCGCCAATGCACGTGCCACGAAATGTTGGCGCGACCAAAAGAGTCAGATTCAAAAAAAAATTTAGGAGCGATTATTATTGAAATATTGAATAAAAAAGGATTAAAAATAAAAAAATCCACAGGGCCACGGGTAAGTAGGGGTGGAAGGGCAGGAGTGTGGTATAGAGGTGGACGTATCGACGATGGTGTAAGTAGTGGTGCTTAGCTATTGAGAAGGACATGGAGTCATGAACAAGGGGAAGGAAAAAAGAAACTAGTAAAAGATTCACGAAGAACGCCGTTTATAAAGAGGTCCTAGCTCTATACAAGAGGTAATATCTCCCTTTAATATATATTTTTTCTATATATAATCAACATACTTTAGCTTTAAATATTAACAAAAAAACTTACATGCATGAAAAAATTGACTATTGTGACTGGACTTATTCTTTAGCCCTCGTTTAGGTGAGTACTTGTATTTTTGTAGGGTCTCTTCGTGTTTACATAAATAAAAGGAACCCTTCAAATTCTTTACTTTTTATTTGAGTAAATTACATTTACCATATAATAACTTGATAGAGTACAATGTACAAATTGGTCCAACACCTTGTAAACTGCTTATAAATAAATAACTTAACAAATTGATGCATATAAGGTCCAATCATTACTAATATGACAAATACAATACATACTCTCTGGTTATGTTAGAATTAATGGATAATCCAGCCAGTATAAACATCCCAAATCAAATCATGACAATATTAGACTGGTTGCAATCTAAAGATGATGACGTTTGCACTAGGAATTTCTAACCTACTATATTGAACAAAGAAGACATAATATTTTCATCTGGCCTAATTATTAACAAAACTGATACATCACAGTAATGATCCTATCAATACCATATGCTATCACTCCAGTATCTAACAACAAACTTTTGATCACCTTTCAGTGAAAACACAAACTTATAGGATAATATATTAGGCCTCCTTTGAAACACATATATAAATGATAAAACATATCAAACGAAAAGCATAGGAATAGGAGAGGAACGCAAGTGCAAAACAGAGAAATAAAAAATAAAGGAACCTTTCATGCCTAGGTGTTTGGATAGGCAAAAGAGAAACACAGGAATCTTAAAAGGAATTTTAGGATCAAATAGAACTTGCTTTCTTGATTAACCTAATTATTCCATTTTACTCCCTTGACTAGACACAAGTTGCTATCGTAAATCCATTGCTCGCCTTGTTCCTTGCATAGGAAATTTTTCATGAGATCTAAGTGGATTGCTTTTTCCTGTAGGTTTTCATTGGAATTGAAGGAAAAGGAAAGTTAGTTTTCGTTTAGAATTCATGTTAGCAATTCCTATGGACCAAAGGCCGCTACAGAAATCCAATCCATAGAAATTTGAACCCTTTGTTTTTCCTCCATTCTATACGAGGCTTTAGCCAAGAATAGAGTAGTTGATGCAAGAACAGAAAAACTCCATGGTTGCACTCTTACCGTCTTACGAGCCTATAAGCTAATACCAATAAACCACATTCAAGCCCCCTTTGGAACAAAGGAGACATGGAGGAATTTAAGGGATTGGAGTTCTATAGAAATTTTTTCTATAAAGCCCTTTGAAACCCGGAATGTCTTTCCTACAAACCCTATAATATGAAATGGTTTGTTTTATGATAACTTTGGAGGAATTCTACCGTGAGGTTGAACCTCATGGAGAGTTTTTTTTGTCACTCTCTCTCATCTATTTTTTGTTTTTTTATGCTCCATCCAAACGTCCAATCTTATATAAGATTCAAAATGTTAGCGCACATTCCTCCGTTTTCAGAATCTTGCGTTCAAATGAAGCCCTTATTATGTCTTTTTTCCCCTTCAAAGAACTGTCGGCGTGTAGCTCCCGTCCAGGATCCCAGTATCTGACAAGGACAGGCCAGCAGCCGTACACCGGCGCCTATCCCCGTCCCATGAGCAGCAACGAGATGCCTCTAGATCTCGCACGAAATGGCCCCGCCGCTGTTCATCCTCGCCGTCATCCTCTACGTCGTCTCCGCCACCGCCGTCAAGGCGCTAGTCTTCGACGTGCCGTCGGGCAGCTCCAAGTGCCTGACAGAGGAACTCCACCGCCGCGCGGTCAGCCACGCGTCGTACCGCGTGGTGGCGGAGTCTACTTCAGCGTATGACCGGAGGATCTTGGTGCGCGTGACGGGTCCGCGCGGTGAGGAGCTCTACATGGCGGAGGGCGGGGAACGCGGGGAGTTCAGGTTCGAGGCGGCGGAGGACGGTGGGCACACCGCCTGCTTTTGGTCATCCCGCCACGAGCGCGGCGCCGTTGTCTCCGTCGACGTGCAGTGGGCCACCACCAGTGTCGGCGCCCACGCCGGGGGGTCCGGATCCCCGCCCGCCGTCGCGGTTGCCAACAAAGGCCGCATTGCTGTATGCTCCCCATCACCTCTTGCTCCATTTTAAGTTTTGAATTAACTGTTTTGCCTGTTTCCTACAATGAGCATAAGAGAACTGATCAGTATTCTTTTTTCTGTTTCTAAATTCGTTTCAGAGGAATCTTTAGTTTAATCACATTGCAAATTCACTGCATGTTGGTAACAAGAATTACAAGAATATTAACAGGAATAACATGATTGCCCAATGGCAAATGCCTAAATTAAAATTTACGCTTTCTAGGTTCTAATAAGACAACTTGTTGTTTATGCTCACATGCTTTACTAGAAAAATTGTAACAATTGTCAATATCGTTGCTTTATCGTTTGGCCTACTACAAGTTATTGATTGGATTGTTGGCTTCAAACTTTCCAAATTCAGTTCATGAGGAAGGAGATGTTTGAGAATGTCCTTTAAATTTTCCGTAAATAAAAGAATATAGGGAAACTTAGCTGCCCAATTTAGGTGTGGTATTCCTACAGTAGAAATAGCACCATGGTGAATCTCAAGGTGAAACAATCTTACACTTCAGTTGGTGATGGAGGCAATCAGGCAACAAACATATACTCCTTCAAATGGGAGGTCAATGTTATTCGGTGCTTTGAAATTGTTGTGCCTAATTCAAGAAAAAGAAGAAGAGAAAAGGAGTGCTTGGAGGGTGTTTTATTGTCGAAGTGCGTGTTTCAACAATGTCATACAGTACATGCTACAGCCTAAAGGAAGTGAAGTCGAGTCTCCCCTATCAAAGTACCGAGAGAAGTCTTTTAATGTCTTTTTTTTTTGAAAAGTTATCTTTTAATGCCTGTAACTTCAAAATATTTTTTGCAGACCATCGCAGGAGAGTTGAAGAAACTGGAGGATTCTGCTCGACTCATACACCAAGAAATGTTATCTTTTCGCCGTGGTCTTCTTTTCCACTGGGTATTACATAGATATTTGGGCATATTCAGTCATATAGGATGAGGACGTATTTTTCCATCCGTCCATGCAACTAACATAACGTTATACTCTATGATATTATACGCATCCACTAGTGCATGAGCAACCAAACACTCCTTTACCAATCTGAGTCCAGGCTTCTGATTTGTGTTGCTCACTGATCTTTCACCTATTTCTACCAGCGAACTTGAGATGCAGAGGCTCAACGAAGACACTGCCACAAGATTACACTCGTTCACCCTATTGTCATTGGCCATGTGCGTGGGGGTTGCAGCATTGCAGCTATGGCATCTGAAGACTTTCTTTCAAAAACAACATATACTATAGAAGCAAGCAGGGGCACTGAGCTGACCTATTGTTCCTGTACATAATCTTTTCCCCCGGTATCCATAAGATTGAATGGATCATAACCTTTTTTTTAGAAAATTACAGCCGTTTGATGCACTGATTACCGGTTCAGATGTGCATTGTGCCCGTAGAACCCGGACACCTTTGCTTTGTTATAATTTATAGGGATACTTTAGTGATTTATCAAACGAGGCTTGGCATGTGCCGCAGGGCTTATTTCTAATCAACTCCACAAGGTTTGGTGGCTATGTGAGTGCATGAACAAATGAGTGAAAGATGGGTAAAAATGGACCAGTTGTGAGGTCGAGCGACCTGGCCCAACCCAACCCTGACCCATCCATGCCCACCATTTCACCACATGTAAGGAAATACACTTAGAAGTCATCACATATGTTGGTTCAAAAAAATTAATAATATAATAATAAATTTGATAACAGGAATCGGACAGACACATCAATGGGTCCAGGTGAGACATGCAAATCTGTAAAGCACAATGAGAAATTTGCCAGAATCAGGGAAAATGGAGCACCATCACACTTCACATTAATTATTAAATTGAACCCTTTTGAGGGATTTTCTACATTCTTTCAGCGCCCTCTTGCAGGCAACATCTGTCCAGGACGTCACATAAACTCACTCCAATAAAAAGATGTTTCTTGGTAATATGCCCACTTTCTCATATTTAGAATAACAACGTTTTCCAAACAATGAAGGGGTTCTTGGTTACATTAGCTTAGCTTCTGGGAAGAACAGCAAGATCAGCTCATTATTGAATCCTGACATTTATTTGTGGCTGCAGTGTTGTCCCAATGGAAAATCGAGTGAGCCTGGGGCAAGAAATTATCTCCAGTGACTCCAGAGACGAGAGCTTCTCCACCCAAGAAGGAAGTCTTCTTCCAGGGTAATTATCAATTTGAAGATGCTTCACACTAGTATGTGGACAGAGTGCCTCAATGACTCTCACTCTCCTCTATGTATACCTGCTGCGTGCAGGTGTCAGCACTCCATCCCAGCATCAGTTTGTGCATATGCTCCTTTCCACTCAAATTGGCCTCCATGGCAACATCATGAGCGGCAGCTTCCAATTTAAGAATGCAGAGCTCTCCACGGATGTTCAAGTTTTTCAACTCATTGAGGTTACACTTTGCTCCATCTCGGGCGGCTACAACAAATCTTGAAAGAGTCCGAAGTGACTGCAACTTGTCAATGCCACTTGGCATTGATCTAAAAGCAGTAACTCTATCCCAATGAAGATGTAAACAGAGGTGCCGCATGTTAACTAAGTGGCTCATACCTTGAGGTAAATCCATAAGCCAGTAGCAGTCCCCAAGGTCGAGTGTCTGCAAATTGAATTGGTTGCAAATTGTTTCTGGAAGAGCCTCTATCAAAGTATTCCGAAGGCTGAGGTATCTGAGGTGTATTGATGACCCAATAGAATCTGGCAAGACACGTAGCTCAGTATAACTCAGATCAAGAGCATGTAGACAAGTTAACTTTGAGAATAGTGCTGATGGAACCTGCTTTGAGGGAAGTTTCATTGCAGGGCATAACTTCAAGAGCCTCATTTTTTCATAGCGCTGAATGCTGTCAAATACAAGAGGCTCATCTTTTGGGCACATGACAGTTACATAACGAATCCACCCAGGATGGTCAGCTCTATGTGTGAGTTATCAGGATCAAATATCAGAGCTTCATGTTTAGAAACAAGCCGTGCTTGCTCATGCATCAAAGCTGGCACTCTGAACTTTGGAGTAGGGAAGCTGTTGGAAGTTTCAAAGAACGACCTCCCTAGGAGCTCATCAAAGCACCTGCCTGCTACCATCTCAGCTGGTCTTCTCCCATTGCTGTTAACAAGACCATCTGCAATCCAGAGTTGGACCACCTCATCCTTCTCAAATTCATAACCAACAGGAAACATTGAACAAAAGGCAAACACTGTTTGAGATGGTATGGCAAATGTTGATAACTTATTTGCAAAGTTGCCACAATAGTATCTGTGTTTCTGTCATGTTCAAGAAACTGCATATCACTTAGAATGCTTTCCCACTGTTCTATCTGTCCATTAGTGCCAGACAAAAGCACCCCAATAGACTTGGCTGCTAATGGAGAGCCAAGGCATTTTTCGGCGATCCTCCTCACAAGCAGCTCCAAATCATGCTGATCTCTGCTAATTATCCCTGAGAAAGCATAGACTCTAAGTATCTGCGAGCACACATCAATTCCCAAACCCTTCAAATTGATGTTAAGAATATTGGATGCCATCCTCGAAACCATTTCACTTTGAGTAGTGATTAAAATTTTGCTTCCTTTCTCTCCTGCAAAAGAGGGCCTCAGAGATTCCCAGAACTGAAAGCCCTCAGCCCAAAGGTTATCGATCACCAGCAAGAACCGCCTTTGGCTCAGATGCTCCCTCAATTTTTGTTGCAATATGTCCAAGCTTAGAAGGTCACATTTTTTGCCTGGTCACGGCTTCTATTATCATCTTGGTGGCTCTCTTCACATCACACCTATCTGGTAAAAAAACCCAAATCTTTTCAGCAAAGAAGTTCTGTACCTCCTGATCGCCATAGACCAACCGCGCCAGTGCTGTCTTCCCGATCCCTGCAATGCCCCAGATGGAAATCACAGGAAGGTCCATGCCACTGGCGGCGAGCAGAGCACGGATGATCTTCTCCTTCTCCGCGGCACGGCCTATGGGTCTCTCGTCGAGATGTGCAGCAGCTTCAACAAACCTTCGGCTCTCCTGCATCGGCTGAGCCGTCCTCCTTCCGTCCCCGACCTGCAACCGGAAACTTTTCTTCAACTTGTGGATCTCCTCGAGACGCTCATTGATCTTGGAGATCCAGGCATCCAGCTCCCAGCGCTGCCGCAGGCCGAGCTCGATGTTGGGCCAGAGCCGCTTCCGCTTCCGCGACAGCTCCGCGGCACCCAGCCTGGACACGGCCGTGATGGTGTTCAGGCGGTCCAGCAGGGTGTCGACGTCGAATGCGGTGGCCCTGAGCTCCTGGAGCCAGAGCTTGACATGGTCGTCGACGATGAATCGGCGCTGCTCGGCGTCGTTGAGCACCGCGCGTATGTGGTCCTTGGCGTGCCGGAGCTTCTGGGCCTCCTCCTCGACGTCCAGCAGGCGGGCCCCCCTGGACCAGAGCTTGTCCAGAATCGCGCCGCCGATCTTCTCCGGGATGCCGATTGCCGAGGAGAGCTTCTGGAGCAGATCCATGGAGCGACGAGGTTGCGGCGCGCCAAGAAAGGAGACTAGGAGGGCTCTACCGAAAACGGAATGCAAGGGGAAATCTTTCGCGGCGCTGAGGAGCAGCGATTCGGAGGTGTTATTATGAAAGCTCGCTTCGTGTAGAGTGCCCCACTGGTTCTTGGCGTGCAACTGAGTGAGAATTTCACTGGAAGCTTCGGCGAAGGTCCATGGTCGCTTCGTCGAAGGTTCGTGGCAATGGTGACGATGGGGAGAAGGCAGGGAAAAAGAGAACAGTAGAGCCTGCACCTAGAATGAACGAACGCCTCCCCGGCGTGGTTGCGGGCTTGGGGTTGCTGTCAAGTGTCAACGGCGGTCTCTCTCTCTCTCTCTCTCTCTGAGGGGGTGTCAACGGCGGTTTCAGCGGCACATACGAGTGAAGAAGAGTGACATGTCACCTCATTCAAAAACTGTGTCCGAAAGCGTATCGGAACTTTGAAGCGATGCTTTTGCACTTCGAAATTCCGAATGAATCATGTTTGATCTGTGATATAGCGTGAAATGTAGTTGTGAAAGTATCCACGGAAAATTGGAAATTTAGCAGATATATCGTCGTCCTCTCGGTGGCAATCGAGCCATTATATCATCCTTCATCCGTTGGGCAGGAGGTAGGGTTTGCGTGCATATATTTATAAAGCTGTGTAATTCTAAAAAAAAAAACATTCCACTTGATATGCTACCCTATATTACACCATCTGCTCTGCAAATAAAAAGCCTATTAAGACACCTATTGAACACCTTGACACATCAACTGGGAACGAGCAAGCTAGGACAATCAAAGGAGTGATCAGTGATGGATGGGGTTCAATGATCAGGCCACCGCCTTGAGCTTAATCTGTGCCCCATGCATCGGGGGCAGTGTGATCACGGTGTGTGGCGCATGAGTGTAGGATGGCGCGAGCTCGAACTCGAACCGCTGAAGGATCATGCTCAGATCCTTCTTGGCCTCGAGCAGCGCGAAGTTCTGGCCGATGCCGATGCAGGTGCGTGGCCCCCAGCCGAACGGGAAGAACGCGGCGGGCGCCTTGGAGACCCCCTCGGCGAACCTGTCCGGCCTGAACTCGTGCACGTCGCTTCCCCAGAGATCCGGGTCCATCACAACCCCGGCAGGGTACCTGACGCCGCCGATCTCTATCTCCTTGTATGTCTTCCGGCTGATCGAGATAGCCGGAGGCCGGAGGGTACAGCCGGAGAACCTCGTGGCGGATCATCGCAGCTGCATCGATGGCGAGCAACAATGTTCATACCCCTGGTCTAGAACAAGTTTCCTACACTAAAAAGAAAATGGAGTATCAGGCGAATGAACTCACAGTTTTGAGCCGGCTGAGGCCATCATACTCCGGCTTGTTTTTCCCGAACAGGCCAAAGACCTCCTCTCTCGCACGGTCCTGCCACTCCGGGTGCATGCATAGCAGGACCATTGCCCAGGTGAGCAGCACGGACGTGGTCTCCATTCCTGCGAAGTAGAAGAGTTTGCACTCGATGACATCTTCGATTGTCATCCCCAGGCTGGACTGCCCATGCTCGTCCGTGTCTCTCATGTTTGACTCGCGAAGCAGACCCAGCAAGTCGTCTTTGCCGTGGCTCTCGCCTTCTTTCATGGCCTGCATTCGTTTCTCGATCAATCCTCGTAAGAGCGAGCTGACTTCGTTGTTGATTTCACGCATCCTCCTGTTGTTTTTGGTCGGCAAATACCTGGTGGGTACGTTCCATAGCGTTAGCATCGGTCCGGCCAGGTCAGTTCAATAGCAGTAGAGCATACTATTCTTGTATGCTGTAGAAGCAACTCACAAGTAGCCTGGGATGATGATCTTCTGAACGGTGGCTACGAGGCGCTCAGCCTGCTCTGCCTGCAGCTGGAAAATCTGCCTCCCCTCGAGGTAGCTGCTGCCGAATGCGGTGCGAGGAATGACGTCTCCAGTGAGGTTCTGGAGCTCCGGCCAAACATCCAGCTCGCACCAACCGTCGGAGCTCATCACAGACTCCACCCATCTGCTAACTGATTGGGTTTGCTGGACCTATATGTGCAGATCTAGTGGGTAAAACTTGACTTAGATGAGATGACTTGCTAATGTACCTCACTAAACCGTGTCACGGCGAGAGGCGCCGGTGACGTAGTAGCCATAGCGGGTCGAAGTAGAGGTAGCCGTGACGTGCCCACTGGGTCGCCGTAGGTAACAGCAGTGCAGGGCCAGTGCTGTGGCGGCGGTGAAGACGATGGAGCTTTTCGTCGCTTACAACGCCCCTCTCGATTGGTCTAGGGATAGGACATCGGTGAGGGGCTGGCGGCTACGGTGAACCTTATATCTCGAGCCCCAGCCCCTATCTCCTATTTATTGCGCTGCGCGACAGGGTTCATCAGCCACTAGAAAGATTGAGCGTCCCCGATCAGGGTGCGGATCAAGGACCCAATTGGTGAAGATTAACATAACATCCTCCTCCTTGATCTCACCTTATGACTTAAACTTAACTTTCTTTTTCTTTTTTCCATTCCATCACAGATCAGTGGATTGAGCGTGCCTCATCGTCACGGTCAGTTGCCATTAGATTTAACAGCTACAATGCACCTCTCTATTTTAAAACAGATACTCAACTAGGCCCTTAGTATCCAAAAATCATAGACTTTCCTCGTAAGTCCATGTCGACTGTGTGTTCTCTGAACGCACTGGGTGGTAAACTTTGGTAAGCGGATCCGTAAGTACTTGCTTGGTGCTTATATGCTCAATGCTTTCAAAATAATTCTGAATTTTCTCATTTACAACATATAACTTAATGTCAATGTGTTTGGCAGCACACTTGACCTGTTGTCTTATGAGTTAACTACTTTAACTGGTTATTGTTGTTGACTATCATTGTTAAATCCGGGTACATATTCCCTTAACTACTTTTGCCTATTTCCTAAGGCCTCATGACAAGCTATACTATGGTATGCATCATTAATGATACCACAACTGTTTTATTGGAGCTTTTCCACAATAATACTTCAACAACGAGTGTTAGCAACTACCGTGGATTTCACTACACATCTCGTCAAAACTTAACATTTGTACCCACAACTATTTGAGAGTACTTGTTCTTTCTTACTCAGCATGAGGCCTATGATACTTTACAAAAAATTGTAAGACATTCTTAACTCAATTCTAGTGATCTATATCTGGACTGGACTTCTGCCAAAATATCCCGGATACGTAAGCTACGTCAAGATAAGTTCTTACTTGTATATTTATTAAGCTTCCAACAGCTGAATCATATGAAACTATGTTCATTTGATCGATCTCGTATCGGTTCCTGAAACACTGAAAATTTCTAAATCTATTACCCTTAACTATAGGAACATGCATAGGTTTATTCGCATGCATACTTTATTTTTTAAATCTTTTCTAAGTATGCCTTTGTGATAGTCCTAATACCTCATTTTCTTCTATCTCGGTGAATTTCGATTCCTAGAACCAATGACGCTTCACCAAGATCATTCACATTGAAACTTGAGAATAAAACTTCTTCTAAAATGACATATTAACATCACTACTATTGAGTAGAATGTCATCTATTCACAGGATGTGAAAAATAATTTTTCTATTCTTGAACTTCGCATAAACGCTATTGTCCTTCTCATTTTCTTTAAAACCCAAACTTTCTTATTGTTTTCATCAACTTCAAATACTACTGTCTAGAGACTTACTTTTAACCCATAAATAGATTTCTATAGGCAGCATCCCATATGTTCTTTTCTTTCACGACAAAACCTTTTGAGTTGTGCCATGAAAACGTTTTCATATAAATCCCCGTTGAGGAATATTGTCTTTACATTTATCTGATGTAATTTTAAATCATAATGTCCATAAACACTATTATGATTCAAAAAGAATTCTTGCATGAGATTGGAGAGAAAACTCTCATTGTAATCTATTCATTCTCTTTACGTAAAGCCTTTTTCTACAAGTTGTGCTTTATATCTTTCTACATTTCCTTTGGAGTCACGTTTTGTGTTGTAGACCCTTTTATAGCCTACTATTTTGGCTCTATTAGAAATTTTTTCTAAGTCCCAAACATCATTGGTATTCATCGAATTCATTTCAACTTCCATAGCATCTTGCCATTTAAACAAGTAAACGCTTCTCATGGCTTCTTCAAATGAGGTAGGATCATCCTCCATTTGAATTTCTTTACTAACATAGACTCCATAGTCATCAGAAAAACTAGTTTACTAATTCTTTGAGACCTTTTAGGACCTCAGCTACTGACACTTTCATATGTGGCTGTTGTTGCTCTTCATTGCCAAGAGGCAATTGATTCTACAGGCTCATGTATTACAAGATCCTTGTTTATATTATTCATCTTCTTCGAAGAGCTAACAACAGGTATTGTATTAGTCATACAACATCAACAGGTATTGAGAAACTTGTTGCTCCTGAGTCACTAGAGTAGGCACACAGTCCCTCTTCTCTTCAAGTCTTAAGTCTCTACATACCTCTACATACCATGCTCCCCCAAATCTTTCCATCTTTTCTAAAAATAGTGTATCTTCAAATATCTTATTTTGGGTTTAATCTGTTAAAACCTCATATGGCGCTTTAAACACCACCTTAACATCTTTGAGGCTGACTACGCTATCTTTCTGTCGGAACTTTAAAAGATTTAGAAATTTAGCTATTTTCTGCTTAGGGGTATCATTGTTGTGACCGTTGTACTCCTCCAACGGTCGCATTCATCTTAATTAATCTTTATCTCACTCTTAATGAAGAGTATCTTTCTTAATTAATCTTTATCTTATTTTTAATGAAGAGTATTTTTCTTAATTGATCTTAATATTCTTCCCCTCGAAATATGACATAAACTTTACTGCCATAATTTTGAGAACTATTCAGAAAACCTATGAACGAGGAGACACTTATAACTTACTTCATTCATATGATTATGTCATGTAAACAAAGTTATTTTTATCTCCGTTTAGGAGTACACTTTTCTTATTTCACTTCAAGAACTGAAAAGGACCTAGGATGCCGCCTTGAGGGGGGTGAATAGGCATTTCTGAAAATTAACACCTTTAAATGTGAAAGCGATTAGTAATGGGAGTTTTCAAAATAAAAACTCCAAATAAGAGTAATATCACCCCTCACAAGTTAGCCACAGAGTATGTAAAAGATACTAAATAAATCTAGGAAGCCAGATACCTGCAACCAAAGAGTTAAATTAAAATACAATTAAGTTTTGCACAGGCACCAATACCGGACGTGTCCGATAGTATACACGTGTTCAGTGGAACGGCCCCAAACTTGCTCCTTTCGATTTCAATCTTCAATCCAAGCTGCAGGTACCTACTAGAAATGATATGATATACAGCCTGCAAAAGAGCTAAAGCAACACAAATATCAAAAGAAATGCGAATTGAGACATGATATTTGTTTTACCGAAGTTCGGACTCGGTTGAGTCCTACTCTCCGTTGAGGGGGCTGCAGGCGACCCAACGAAGGTCAGCCCTAGAGGGTACCACGAAGGTCACTCTAGTCGAAGTCTTTTCAACTCTTTTTCCACCTTCCACTAGTTGATTCCTTCCCTTGCGGTGGCGGAATCGACCGTTACAAACTTTTCGAGGCACACCACAATCTCTTGGGTGCTCTCCGACGACACCTAGTCGTCTAGGACCGAAGAGTCCAAGAGTGACAAATGCAAATCATGATATTGACAATATGCATAAGTGCTCAAGTGGTAGCTTGCTCTCTTTTTCGAATTCTCTCTCAACCCACAAAAGGATTAGGCAATTTGGATGAATCACTCACTAAGAGAGGGTTGGAGAGTGTTTGTAAGGCTCAAAAACGTGCTAGAGGATCAGCAGAATCAGCAGCCTCCAAAGATAGAGGCTTGGGGATAATTATAGCCTCATTGAAAAAACTAGCCATTTTCTAGTTGTTGCCATACCGGACCGGACACGTCTGGTATGACTTGAACAGCGCTAACGGTCACCGAGTTAAAGTATGCGAGGTGTCAGAACTCCCGACGCTTTCCGGGACTTCCGACTACCGAAACTCCCGACCAACTCAAGTCGGAACTCCCGACCCTCAGCTCATTTGAAAACTAGCCGTTGGGCTTCTCAAGTCAGTAAGGTGTCGGGACTCCCGATGCTTTTCAGGACTTCTGACCCCCGGAACTCCCAACACATGTTAGGACTTTCGACACATAACTCTTTCAAAACTACGGAGACAGAAAAGTGCACACCCCAAATACCGGACACGTCCGGTATGCATACAAGACACGTCTAGTATGCACGGGTACTGTGCCAAGAGTTATAATCTCTTGTCTCTCTCACACAAACCTCACATAGGTTGGCTTGAGCACTTATGATGATGCATCCCTCTTAATAGTACGACGTTCCTATAAACTCAAGATTAAAAGAAAAAAAGAGATTATACCGCTTGAGTTGATTTCTTTCAAATTGATGTCGTCTCTTTCAATCTTCATCAAGTGAGGGTGCTAATATGTCGATATTGATCTTTTCACTTGAGCATAGCCATCTTGAGCACGTGACTTGATTTCATTCATCAAATATGAATAACTCTAAATGCATCAAGTCACTTCCATCAACTTGTCTAATATAGATTTGATCCTCCACATCAATATGACCTTCATAGCTTGATTAGTACCTCAACTAAATGCAAGTACTTCCTTCTTCACCCTAGCTAGGTTCTTCGGCCGCTAAGCCGTCGTTTGCCCTTCACCTTTATTTAGTACCTCGAAGCCTTTCCCTGCTATCTTCACCATCTTAAGCCATCAAGTCATACCTTGTGTTGAATCATACAATGAATTCCATAGAACACCATCAATCATCGATATCCCACCATAATTAAGCCTTTACATGAATTATATTTGCATTGTTGTCTTGTGCTTGAACTAAATTGTTTATACAACAACAAATCATTTTGCTTCATTAAGCATATGTGAGATAACCAATTTTCTGTTTCACACTTAGAGAAAATATTAGATCTTTAATCGTGTTGTCATTCAATCATCCAAAATCCACTAAAGGGCTAGATGCACTTTCTAGAACTCAACGAGGTCTTTCATTAGCAGTACTTTTGCAAGTCACGCTTGCATCTTTTCTTATCTTTTGGTTAGTATTGACCATGACGATGCATTTCTATTGTGCCACGGTCAATACTAGGACAACATAAGAGCTACCCAAACTTCTCTCGCTATGCGGGATACAAAACATGTGAATCATCACAAAACTTCTTCCACCATGTAGGATTGACTAGCATAAGTACTATGCCAAAACTTCTTTTCATGTGGGATAAATCTATACACAATTTACTATAACGAAAACTTAGTCATGACGACTAAAACATTCACTTATTTTCTTCATTTTTCAATTAAATCTTTCCGTTGGTTATAATTTAATCAGAAAATTAGTAAACTAATAAAAAACAGTTCTGAACTGGCTTGATTCAAGCCTTTTTATTCACATAGCCCAGCATTACAGCCGAGTGATCTCGGTTAAAACTAAAACACACAAGATGCTTCTGCATCAATTCTACATCATCGTTGGGCGGAAAATAGAATTAATGCATAAAACTCATAAATTAACTTGGAAGACATGTAACTACTCTTCAAAATTAAATTCTCCTGTTGGTTTGAATTTAATTAGAAGATAATCAACATCATTGCAGCGAAACTCGATAATAAAATACATTCTATTAGTTCAGGAGCATTTTGGTCTTTATCTACTCTCTAAAAAATTGACCATGTTGGTGTAAAATTTATTAGAGATTTAAACTTCAACCTTAAACTCATTATAATATTGTTATCGTCAACGTTGGTCAGAAAATAACAATACCATAATTTAACATAAACAAATCGGACTACTCCTCTAATTTAAATTTTCCCGTTGGTTCCAATTCAATTAGAGGATAAACATAATCATAATTTATAAAAGTAACTGCTCTTCAAATTAAATTCTTCAGTTGGTTCGAATTTAATTAGAAGATTATAAACATTAAACTTTACAGCGGAAACATGAAAAAAATAATTTATCTATTTTTCAGAAGCATTTTAGTGTACTCATCTACTCTCGAAAAAATTATTCCGTTGGTTCAAATTTTGACAGAGATTTAACATCAAAACTTGACAAAATTCATCAAAACTGCTCTGAAAATATAAAACAAATGCTTTGCTACAGTTCTGCGCTTTCAACGAAAATTGGCCCAGTGGCCCATCCGCCAACGCAACCATGCGCCCGCGGCCCAGTGCGCTGTCGCGCTCTGCCGTCGGCCCAGCATGTGAAATCGGCCCGCGGCGTCCACTCGGGCCGTGCTCCCCACGTCCCAGGCCGCAACCTGGGCCTAGGCCGAGATTTGCCTCGCCCGCCTGGCCTGTATTTGGTCCACTCGCCCGGAGCCGTTGATCTTGATCGGACGGTCGAGCGACAATCTCAGCGGAATAAAAATCACTGCCGTGTCGGTTCGCCCAAACCCTAGCTTCATTTGTCTTCTCCCCCATCTCTCTCTATGCCGTGTCGGGACAGAGAACCAGCGGCGGCCGCCCGTGGCGACCAGAGGAAAAGAGTGGTGGCGCCGCCACGGGGCCCCTCGCCAGTGAGCGCGCTCGCCCGAGGCTGAGCGCGCCGCCGTCGAGCGGCCTTGCGACGTTGCCCTTAACCCCGCGTGGCTCCACTCTCGGAACCCTAACCCTCATTTTCTTCATCTGCTTCTCTCTCCTCGCCGCAGCCGTCGACTTGGTCTCCCCCTTCTCACCCGAAACACGGTGGCCGGAGAGAAGAGTGATGGCACTGCCGTGGCCCCTTCGCCCGCGCTCAGGTCGTCTTTGCTTGGACAGCGCAGCCTGTCGGCGGCACCGCTGGTGGTGCTTTTTGCTTCCCACACGCGCTCTTCCCTAAACCCTAGATCCCTTTCTCCTTTGTCAGCCCTCAAAGCAGCAGACGCGAGAGAAGAAGGGCGACGTCGTCACGGGTTCCCTCGCCGGAGCGCGCGCTCCCCAGTGGGTGAGCGCGCCGCCGTCGAGCGGTCATGTGACGGTGCCCTCTACCGGGGCTCGCGCGCACGGTGACAAGCGTGGCTCGGCTGCTTCTTCCCGCGCGCGGCGGTAGCGACGGCGGCGAGGAACCGGGTAGGTCCTCCCCTTTCTCCGTCCATCCATCTAGGGTTAGGGTTAGGGTTAGGGTTGGGGTTGGGGTTCAATCCGAGTCATCTCCTTCTTGATTCTTTTCACTTTTCTGCCCTAGTCTAGATCTACATACTCGCAAGGCGCTCTAATACCCTTGATAGTTTTTACTAGACCTCTATGTGCGCAGATCTAGTGGGTAAAACTTGACTTAGATGGGATGACTTGCTGATATACCTCACTAAACCGTGTTGCGGCCGAGGCGCCGGTGATGTAGTAGCCACAGCGAGTCGGAGTAGAGGTAGCCGTGACACGCCCGCTAGGTTGTCGTAGGTAGCAGCAGTGCAGGCGTGGTGTTGTGGCGACGGTGAAAGCGATGGAGCTTCCCGTCGCTTACCGCACCCCTCTCGATCGGTCTAGGGATAGGACATCGGTGAGAGACTGGCGGTTGCGGTGAACCTTATATCTCGAGCCCCAGCCCCCATCTCCTATTTATTACGCTACGGGACAGGGGTCCATCAGCCAGTAGAAAGGCTGAGCGTCCGATCAATGCGCGGATCAAGGGCCCAATTAACCGTTGGGCGTGGCACCTAACCCTAACCACCTCGTCGCAGCATGCGGAAAACGCCGGCAGCATACTCTGAAACTAAAGATACATCACAAGAGCATTGCAAATTAGGCCGATCAGAAATAATGGATGGGCATGCGGCACCATATATGAGAAATCGAGAAGATTTGTACGCATACCTTGAGCTTCTCGACATGGAATGCGGGGTTGAGGATCCTCCTGTGCTTGACCCACTTCTCGCCCTCAAGGCCGGCGACGTCGTCGGCGAGCAGCTTGGTCAGTGCCGGGAAATTGGGCTTCTCCAGGTGCCCGAACTTGTTGGACAGCACGTCCCTGGCGACCTGCGGGTCGGCGACGATCACCCTGGGCACCGGGCCGAACCAGAGAAGCCACGCCTGCTTCCCGTGCTCCCGCACGTTCCTGCAGAGGAACGGCGCGACGCGGGGCGCGATGTCGTGGCACCGCAGCGGCAGGGGCCTCGACCAGGCCTCCCTGTTCATCCTGGCGTTCTCCCTGAGGTCGCTCGCCAGGAGGCGGTGCGGCGTGCCGCGCAGGCCCTGTGCCCGCAGCGCGCGCTCCAGCCGCCGGGGACGCCACCACAGCCGGTGCAGCAGACGGCCGGCCTGCCTCAGGAGCGTCAGGGCCAGGATACCGTAGACCAGGAAGCTCCATGGCACACATGGCGCTGCGGCTGCGAGCGAGGAGGCTCCTGCCCGAAGCATCCCTCTCATTCTCACGATCGAGCTGAGAGATGATGGTGAAATAGAGTGGAAGATGGGTTTGCTATGGCATGGCCTTTGTCGCCGTCGGCTTAAATAGACATCACTAATGGACAGTGGACACTCTATTAGCCAGGCCTGGTCATGCCTTGCTCCGAAGGAACTTGGTGGTGAAGTTCCATGCGACGAGTGGCTTCGGAGCAGCAACGTTGACTGGTTGTTGCTCTGCGTTAGCTCAGATTGCTTGTCCTCATTTGAAAACATGCGCGGTCAGAGGGTTGACAAAAGGACTTCAGAAGCATCGACAGCCTACAGCAGTAATACTGTTGTGTCGTTCTTGCTCTCTACTCCGTGGTTCCTATCGTCAATCACGGGCACGGCAAATAGCCGCTAGGCGGTGCTGAACCATGAACATGGCATGCAATTAAGGCACCATTTGACACAAATCCGCTTTAACTAGTGGAGCTTGGGTGTGGGTGTGTGTGTGTGCGGGGGTGGGGTGGGGTTTGCTTTCAATCAGGCTGGTTCGTGAAGAAATGCTGCTGGCTGGTTTGTGTGAGAGAAAAAATACTGTTCCAGCTGAAAATTTATAATCGTTTACGACAAGCCACAGCCAAACGAACATGCTGAATATAGTTAAAAATGTTTTGATAAACTTTTTGACAAACGGCTCTTTATGTGAAGCTCCTTAAAACATTGTACAAATCACATGTAAGAACCCACCTAAGCGAGCTGAAGTTTGAGAGAAACAGCTGTTGTCAGCTTCAAAATAGCTTCGTTTCAACCAATCCTTGTGAGAGCATGTTTCAAAAAGCTTCACATGCAACAAAACTGTTTAAAAAATACACGTTTAACATAAAACAACTTCAAATAGCACATGAAGCTACCAGAGAATATCAAACAGGGCCTAAATAGTAGCGGGATTAAGCACCGAGCACTTATAGGCTCTGTTCGCTTGTCTTATAATCCATACTCTTCAACTTGTTTTTTCAGCCGGAACAATGTTTTTCTCTCACAACAAATCAGCCGGAACAATGTTTCGACTTGTTTTTTCAACGAAACGAACGGGGCCATATTTGTTATAAGAGGAAATGTACTTTAAATCTACAAGACTACAAATGAACCATCCAGGGAACAAAGGCAAACCATGCGTTTATTACATTGAGCAATCCCAGTTGGCGAAAGGGAAGAAAAAGAATGGCATCACATTGAACAACCCACAAAGCATACTAGGCTTCTAAATACCTGGGGATGGAAAGGGGAAAATGCTGGCACAGAACTACAATCTATACTCCTCCATGTATACCTTGTTAATGTGTAGAAACCTAAACAAATAGAATGGAAAATGGAGAACAAATGGTGAATCAAGGCAAAACCCTAGCATCAAACCCAGGATCTAAACTCACTACTACAGATCAGTAAACTAAGCCAAAAACTATAACGATGGAAGATTTATATATATATTATATATAAAAAAATGAAAAATAAGTTACTGCCGTGCTGTTTCTATGATGAAGATGCAGCCTCAATGGCACTACCAAGGGGCCATGCTGCTTCAACATACGAATCACCATAAGGCACTTTCTTTACCAAGGTAATGTCTTGATAAGGATCAACACCTGAGAGAACAGAAAAAGCAGGTGTAAGAACATAGGTGTGGGGGGTAATAACTTCTAAGTTCTACAGTTGTCATGATATTTTGAAATAAGCCATACCAAATCCATCGACAAGTAATGTGTACTGGTAGACAAGATCTATGCAAAGGTAGGCAATGTTCTCCTCTGAGACATCAGGGTATGTTGCCTGTGCATCCTTCAAGTTCAATTTACAAACCCGGCGTGCAGTTTCTTCAAAGTCTGAAGGTTTAACCTTAGCAACTGCTTTTTTTGGGTCCACGAAACCAGCCTGAACAGAGATGGGACACAGTTAGGTGCTAATCGTGACTACGCCAATAGCAATTCACTTCAGATAGATCAGAAAGCACAATTGTAAATTAGACTTGCCTCAGCAGCCCTATCAAAGAAAAAGGATGCTACAAAAAGATTCTTTTGTCCATCTCCACCACCACCATTCCACACACCGCCAAATGTGCATTTCATATGTGTGCATGCTGGCTCATCAACTTTAAGAGCTCTAACTGCAAGAGCCCTGCACTTGGAATAACTAGCACCAGAAGGTGAGCCTGATGCTTCAAATGTATTACCACCATAATTGTATTTCCCTGAATTTAATAGCATATTTAAGATACGATGATTTTATGAGCAATAAACAGAAAACAGATACTGACAATTTGATGATAGTAGTTTGAATGGGTAAATTTCATCTTTGTTGGAAACTGAAATATGTATTGTATTCATTGCAGGATCAATCTGCTGATAAAGTTGCATGCTTTTATCAACAGCCTCATTATCAGAATGGTGTAATGTTTTGACTAATATTTGATAGCACACAAAATTCATAAGACAAGTCAACATATTGCTTTATGTATTTTCACAACAGGGCAAGGATCCTGCATAGAATAGAACAAAGCTCAGGACAATAGTCTTTCCAAGCATTTGGTTTTGTTACAAAATAACCATTTGCCCTATTAATGCTGATATAATTTCAGTAAGAACATAGGAAGTTCATTTCACATTCCAAAAAGACAGACGTAATGATATGTCAGATTTAGATATTGGGCCTAGTAGATTAAAGCAAGCAAACATACCAAGATGCCCCTCCAACATACAGTCGCTGTAATCACTGCCTTCGCCAGCTTTTAAGATCTCCGCTCTAGCCGCCAGCAAACCATAATGCAAATAACTGTGGATAACAACATTTGCAGTTATATATTATAGTTATGTTCTCTACAAATCTTATTCAGAAGGAGGCAATCTTATGATGCCCGTCCCAACAGTAGTCCATCACATTGTGGTAAACAATATTGTTCCATGTCAGATTTATTATAATGTAAAAAAGGGGAAGAAGTGATAGAGTTGACCAAAATATGTATAGTGGCCTCACTTGGTGACAAGTAAGAGCAAGGATAATAATACAGCCGGCTGCTGGTTGTAAGGCTTTTTTGCAGCCTTCTCTCAACCCACTCATATAATAGTTAGCTCTTCATTATTAATACATGGCCCACTTATCTCTCTCACAAAGTTTCTTGGTTCTTGTGCCTAAGTCGACTGTAAGCTTACAGTCCACTTCTCCTCTCTTTCCTCTCCTCACTCCTCCAGCTCAGCATTTAGCCAGCTTAAAGCATGCTATTATACATGCTCTAAACACTTCAAGTATGATGGGATGCCAAAAATTCTTATTCCTCACTTGGTGACAAACAAGTAAACCAGTTTTAACTCTTCAATATTACAAAATCATTTTTTGACCCAACCACCCAAGTTGCTAGCAACCTGTAGCAACCTCCAAATAATTGCATGTTTCACCTTTCTACAGTGTGGTACTCAAACTTCTAATAAGATATATAGTTCTCGGTCAATCCTACTATTATTAGTAGTCAACAATGTCATAAAGACTGCAAATGGAATGGTTTAACCAATATAGAATAATGGAGTACGCCACACTAGTCACATGTTTTACAGTTTTAGGCATCATTGGTATATTAGAATGGCAGAAAATAGCAGTAGAACAAAGTCAACGATAAATCTCAGATTGTCATGACACATTTGATTCAGACCTGTGAACATAAAGATAGTATGTTGTTCCCTTAAGTAGCAGCTCCTTCACATATGAATCTTCACCATCTGCCACTTCAGGTGCCTTTGCTGCATCCTTCTCTGAGATAGCATAAGCCATTTGGACTGAACCACCTCCTAAATCAACAACTCCAACTGTATTTGAGTATGGCTTTCCCAATTTTCCCAAAAGATAATTGATGGTAACCTATAAAAGAATAGAAAAGACATCCATGTTGCTTCTTTTAATGTGAAGGTTGTAGAAGAACAGCAAGTGGAGAAACCGTTTTACTTTCAAAGTTAAAATGCCAAAGTCAAAGTTAAGACAGGAACATACAAAGATACACAGCTCTCCTGCGTATTTGAGAAAAAAAAAGTTAAGACAGGAACAAGTTAAAACCAACGTAGGTCACTTTAGTTTTGTCCTAAGTCAAACGTCTCTAACTTTGATCAAGTTTTTATAAAATTTATTAATATCCAGAAGTTCAAATAGAATGCACTATCAAGACATATTTCATGGAGAAATTAAAGAAACGAATTTGATATTGTAGATGATGGTGCATTTTCTATAAACTTAGTCAAACTTAGAGAGGTTTGTTAACAATCCTAAAGACCTAAACAACAAAAAAGGAAGAAAAAAAAAAGAGGCTCTTGGAGAAAATTAGAACAACACCGTACCCACTGGAATGTGCCTTCCTGTGATCCATCTAGAACAGTGACCCAATTTGGCTGGGATTTGAAAGAACTCCTGTCATGGAGAAGTTCCCTAACCTGAAGAACTCATATTCAGCAACAACAAAAGGAAATCAGGCAATTCAAAACTAAAAGAGAATACGCAGCGCATCAAACAAAAATGTCAAAAATAAGGCTACAGAATAAAAGATGGAATGCTCAGATCTTGATGGATAAGACAAGACATGGAGAATATTTACCGCTTGCAAAATTTCTTCAGACCTTTCAGTCCCTAATGCTCTGAGACCTGCAGTGGCCTGCATAAGGGTCCAAAATCATGTTTTCGCTAGAAACACTGTTGCAAAAACTGATACTGTTTCAGTTTCCACTACCATAAGAAGCAATACAGGAACCATAACTCACCCCAACCCTGACAGGTGTTTGTCCACGCAACTCTGCTGGAACTACTTTCTCAGCTTCCTCTAAAAGAGAAATAAGTGATTCAGCAGCCTCCTGTGGACCCTTTGCTGCACTCAGGCCTGGTTTTTTCTAGAGCCAACATGAGAGAGAGATAAACAATCAGAGAAGTTAGAATCCCTCTCTTTTCTGGATGGTCAATTGGTCTGTTCAATTCAAATATATAATAGGACGACAATATATTAGCTAGTAGGGTAATTACAGATGATCAGGTCAATGAGTAGAAATGAACATTTTTACACAGTGGGTTCTCAAGTCCTTCAGAATCTATACATCTATAAGGTATATTATTTTGGTGAGAGACAGGCTCAACCAGGATGATATGTTGTTTGAGCCTTTAGGTTGCTTCATAGAGATACAGTCTTGGAACAACTACCTGCAACTTTGCATTTTTGCAGTGCATTTACTTTGGTATGGTTTCTGATGATTTAGTGTCCAATTTTTCTTGCTCTAGCACCCATAACATGATAGATTTCTGAGGGGCAGAATATTATTTTTTTTTGTCTCCAAACAGCTAAAATGGAATCCCCGTTCAAGAAGTTTCAAGCTAGTTAACTTGACTCTCAGCAAAAAATTCAAGCAGATTTACAAAGAAATTTTGAAACAGCATTTGGTCAAAATCAAGGCAGAAAGTTGTTCTTCTTAATCTTCTACTTCTGGTATTCCCCAAGAATTAGCTGTAGTCACATTCTGACATGTATTCAAATATTACATAGTTAAAAAAAATTATTCCTGATTGCACTATTGCAGGAACAACAAACACAACAAAAGCTGTCATATCCCTAGAGTTGTCATCCCAAGGTAAAAATCAACTGATTTCACGTTTGAATTAACAACACTAATTTATCATGACAAGGTCCTGGCTTAATGCCTTTGTATGGCAAGAGCTCATTGCAAGTAATAAGCATGTGGTGGTTGCTATGCATGCAATTTATCATATCCTGATACAAAAGACAAAACCACAGTGGCATAACTTCATCGGCCAATATTCTTCTGTCTGTGAAAATCTAGATACAGTAGATTTTTGTTCCAACAATTTATGGGAAACAAATAAAAAGATATTAAGTTGTGCAGTTCACCATTGTTAAACAGGCCCTAAGTGATTATATCTGCAATACAAATTTCTGATTTCTTTTGCAAATTCTGCAAAAAATATGTGAAGGACTACTTGGTTGTGAACTCTCAAGAGCCAAGCCAAAGTTTTGGATAGCCAAAAAACGAACAACTCCGACATTTAGTCAAGAGAAAGTAGAAAACAATCATTGTTTAGATTGGCCATACATGATATTACTGGATTTTCGTTGTTAGAGTGACCAATTAGATTCTACTAGTGTAGTAGTGTTACTGAATTTTCAGTGCTGTTAGTTTGGCTTGAGGTAGTAGAAGACCAAACAGGCCGCATCAATAATCTCATTTATGGCCACTCCAGAACACCTCTACTGCTCTACATCCGACCACCAAATGGCGCAACTCAAACTAAATGGACAAGAGAAAGCCTCAACCATTCACCTGTTTGAACAGCTCAATCTCCTTCCCTATAGGCACTAGATCCAGGTTTTCGTCGAAGCAATACACGTGCACGCGGCTCCCGGAGCTGCCGGCGTCAAATATAACGGCATACTTGTTCAATCCATCCTCAACGGCCCGGGGTCCCCACCTCCGGCCGCCAACGGCGAGGAGCCCACCCCCTGAGGCGGAGGCCGGCGCGCGCGGCATGAGAAGGAGCACGAACGAGATGAGGAGTGCCGGCGAGAGCAACACCATTAGTACCCGACGGTACCGATGCACACGGTCGGCCACCGCGTCCGTCTGCTGCTGCTGCCGTGCTCCGGCGCCCGAGTAGCGCCGCATCCTCGCAGCCGCCGCCGCGGCGTCCGCGGCGGAGGGGGCGGCGGCGAGATCGTCGGCGGGGAGCAGATCGGCCGCCGAGGGCGTGCGGTAGCGGATGCGACCGTTGGTCGGCGACGGTTTCACCGCCTCCTGCTGCGGCGGCTCCAGCGTGTCGGTGCGGGCGGCCGCGTGCAGCGGCCTTATCGAGAGCGTGGCGGGGTGGGTGAACGGGTGGGTCTGCCACAGCACAGCTGCGCGGTGACACGGGGACGGAGCGCGAGATCTCTCCGGCACGGGTCACGGCGACCTTTGGGGTTGACCACGTGGTGGCATTGCGATCGGGGTGGAGATGGAGGAGCTGGTGGCGCGGCCGCGCGGGAGCCAATTTGGCTCGATTCGGGGAGGTGGCTGCGCGGCTTTCGCCGTGGTCGCGGCGGAGCGGTGTGGAGGGCAGGAGCAGTATGAGCCAGCGAGACGAGTTGGCATCACGCCGTCTATCTTCGACACATTTAACTATATTTGCCACTCTTTCTTTCTTAAAAATATATACGTATATATTTATCGCTCTTATAAATAACACCAAATTATAATTATAAAATTGTCATGGAAAGAAAAGATTAAAACATTCTTATTGAATTTTATGACGTGGCATGCCTTTGCTAGCCTTTTCTCGTGATATCTCCTTTGCTCTGCCGTGTCTTGCACGCGCAAGCTCTCTGGCTATCAAACGACGTCTTCTGTTTCTTTGTTCTCCTCCTTCTGCCCGGCGTGCTCGATAATGGCTTGGCTCTCGTAGAGCACTGCGACTATCTCCGGAACCAAAATACAAGATCCATATAAAGTTTTCAATATCTATTTTTGATTTTTTTCAACAACAAGATCTAAAAGAGAACTATTTCTGTAAATAGATCTCGAGAAGAGAGGATACTCAAATTTAGGTTGTGTCTCTCCGGCACTTAAAATAGATCTCCTGTATAGGTATGGTCGATACAGTTATTCGTCGGAGACCCATTTTACGTTTGGGTGCCCTTATGGGTCACTTGTTGGAGACAGTCTTACCCCTTGCCTCGACCTCCATCATTGTGTTGTAGTTGCAAGTTTTCGAGTCATCATTGCAGCCTGAGAAGACCAGTGGGACTTGTGAGTCATCAACGAGCGACAGTTGGCACCTAATGGGATGAGAGCGTGAGGAAAGAATTTGAGGGTCTTCTACTTTTACAGGCCAAAATAGCTCTCCTAGTATAACAAGCTTTTCATTACTTGAGTCAGAGAGGCATATGTTGCCTAGATACCAAGCAGACCCTAAGGAAGCATTTGGATAGCAGCTTGGCTTGGAAAAATAATGATTTGGACTATGTTGAGGTAGGACATGAATGGGGGTTATGAGATTTCTAGCCTTGTCCTGTGTTTGGTTTTCTTTTCTGATTTGGGCTTTCCGTGGGACTAACATGGGAATAGAGAAAAGTTTTTTTTATACTGGATAAATTTCATTACTCAGCAACTAACAAATCGTTAGCAACAAGTGCCTGAACACTATCAGGAACAGAGCTCATAATTTGCTCCTCATCCTGATTACATAACAGACCCAACACAGCTAACTCGTGAGCAGAACAATTACACTCTCGACATTTGAAAATGCACTCAAAACTAAGGAAGCAAGAGGACACCAAGTTCTTTATCTCCGTCACCAGAAGCCCCACGGCAGCATCATTGATCTTATATCATTACAATAGGGCAAAAAGAATTAGGATTATCTCTTTGAAGTAGGCTTTATATCATTATCATTCATTGGCAGGGGCGGATCCAACGACGGGGGGGTATGTGTTGTTCAGCCCCTCCTAAAATTTTTCCTGGATCCACCGCTGTTCATTGGTAATTCTTTTAGAGGCGACAATAGCAACATGGTGGCAATACCGCATAACTACTATGACGCAAGTCAATATTATCACTCAATAAAGTTATATTACCTGCAACCATTTTATAAATAGTGGCAGTAGCACCATCTTATCGCAACAAAATGCATGACTATCGTGACAATTTTTTTTAGTGGCAATATGTACAATAACATTTATCTATTGCAACAAATTTAGTGTCATTGTGATGCGTTCCGTGGCTAAAGGGTTAAATTGGCTCCGGTCTTAAATTTGGCTGAAACTGACTGAAAAATACTGTTCTGGCTGAATTGTTGTGAGAGGAAAACACTGTTCCGGCTGACCCAACTCAAGTTGTGAGCGGTTGTAGATGATTCACCGCAACGGAGTGTCAAAGAATCAACCCGTAGAGAGCACTTGATCCTTACGCGGATCAAGAGGGAGCTACACCCTTACGTAGGTGCTCCAATGAGGACTAGTGGGGAGTGGCGACTCTCCGATACCTTGGCAAAACATCGCCGCATTCTTCCTCCTTTCTTTACTTTGAGCATTTACTTTGAGCAATTCAATTATTGTTATTTACATTCTTAGAATTGTCATGCTAGAGTAGGATTGGAACATAGGTTGCAAGTCTTTTGTGCGGTAGAACAATTAAAAACACTTTCTAGGCACAATGGGTTAATTGGGCTAACCGTAGAATTTAATTATTGCAAAAAAATTAGAATTAGCCCAATTCACCCCCCCTCTTAGGCATCTTGATCTTTTCAATTGGTATCGGAGCCTCGTGGTCACGTATTTAGGCTTAACCGCCTAGAGAAAGATGTCTCACGGGGATGGACCTCCTCCTATCTTTGAGGGGGACGATTTTCCTTATTGAAAATTAGTATGGAGGCGTACTTAGAAGCTCTAGATGTTGGAATACTTAGAGCCGCCTCACAAGGCTTCCCAAGACCTAAGGATGCCACACACGCATAAGGCGATGAGTTGAACTACGAAAAATGGAATGCAAAGACTAGAAACACCATATTTAGATGCCTTTGTAGTAAAGATGTGTTCAACCGGGCGAGGAACCACAAAGACGCCCATGCACTATGGTCGGACATTTGTGCGCTCCATGAGATAACAAAGAGTGAGCGTGGGAAATGCTATCATCTTGTCATGAAAAAGCTCAACTCTTTTAAAATGCTTCCTAAAGAATGTGCTAATAAAATGTATTCACGTTTGAATGTTCTTATAGAGGAAGTCAATAGGCTTGGACTTACTCAAATGCAATCATCCGATGTTGTAAGAAAGATATTGAGTGTCCTCCCCATTGAAAAATATGGGCATATTGTGACCATGCTACATCAAGGTGATCTTTCCACCGCTACACCGACACAAATCTTGGGAAAGATCAATGCTCATGAGATGTACATGCACATTACACCTCAAGATGGCTTATCCTCTACAAAGAAGAAAGAAAAAGATTTAGCATTCAAAGCTAGCCAAGAGAAGGGCAAATCAAGACTTGAGTATGAGAGCTCAAGTGATGATGAAGTTGATGATGAAAGTCTTGCTCTCATGGTGAAGAAAACTGCCAAGATGCTAAAGAAGTTCAACAAGAGTGGCATCAAGTTTGATGACAAAAAGAAGTTCTTCACTAGCTCTAGAAGAAAGTCAATCTCCGAGATGGATTGCTACAATTATGGAGAACTTGGTCATCTAGCTCACCAATGCACAAAGCCTAAGAAAGACAAGTTCAAGAACAAGAACAAGGGCAAGAAAGATGACTCAAGCAATGAAGATGAAGATGAGAAGAAAAAGAACAAGCCATACAAGAAAAGAGATGGCAAGAAGAAGGACTTCCACAAGAAGAAGAAGAAGAGTGGAAAGGCTTACATCGTCGGTGATTAGCTCACGGACATTGATTTATCTAGTGGATCTTTCGATGATGAAAGTGACGACGAGAAGGTGGCCGCTATTGTTATTGACTCTTCATCATCTTCGCCACCACCACTGCCATCATCCTCTACACACCTATGCCTTATGGCCAAAGATGAACGAAAGGTATCACATGATGATGATAGTAGTGGTGATGATCATGCTCATAATGATGATAGTGATAGTGAGAGTGATGATGATGAATATGAATCACCTTCTTATGATGATCTTGCTAAATTGCTAAAGAAATACACTAAGATCATTATAAAGACTAGAGCTAAAAATTAAAAGCTTGAGATTAAGAATGATTCTCTCTTAGCTAAATGTGACATAGCCAAAAAGTCTAGTGTTGAGCTTAGAGAAGCAAATGAAGCTATGTCATCCAAACTCAAGGAGCTCAAATCTTCTAAGAAAGAGCTTAAAGATAAACATGATAAACTTAAGTGGGTGCACAAAGAGCTCATCACTAGCCACAATAAGCTAAAAGAATAATATACTACCCTTAAGATTAATCATAATAGTCTTGTCATTGCTTAAAAAATTTTACCCAATGAGCCATATGATGCTACTAACCATGTTGTTAAGATTGATATAGCTACATCATGTGATGATTTAATTGATGAGAGCATTGAGCAAGGATCTAGTGGTAAAGGCAAGCAAGTGGTTGAGTGCAATGATTATGATGAGTATGTCAAGCTCAAGCAAGAGAATGAAAAGCTTAAGAAAGAGTTTGAAGTGTTCAAATCTCACAACACTATTGTGCTAGAAACCCTTGATCATGATGGTGATTTGGTCCTTGAGAATGAGAAGCTAAAAGAAGAAAATAAGAAACTCAAGGAAGAAAGGAACAATGTTGCACTTAAGGAAGATAAAAGTAGTGATGCACTCAAGGAAGAGAACAAAAAGCTCAAGTTGAAAAAAGAGCATCTTAAGATTGGATTGAGCAAGTTCACAAGAGGCAAGCATCTTCAAAGTGAGCTCCTAATAAACACCATCATGAAGATGGATAGAAGTGGCATTAGATATGTGGCAAATGTAGAGAAGAAGAAGGCTCAAGCTCAACAACAACAATCAAAGCCAAAGCCAAAGCCAAAGAGATGCTTTGAGTGTGGACAAGAAGGCCACTTTGCTCATGAGTGTCAAACTCCACCACCACAACCCTTGCCCAAGCATGCTAGACCCTTTGCTTTCAATGCTCACTACATGCTTAGAAAGGATTCTAGTAGAAAG